AGAAATGCATGCATGCATGTAGGCATACATAGATGAGTCCAAATTCCCCAAATATAATAAAGGCACGATCTAACAAACCTCCTAAATATCACTCTACTCCCATCTCTTTCCCCTGTTGACTAGCTAGCCAGCCACCCTCTTCCACCGCCCTCTATCCACTGGTCCATTGCCCCCTCCCTCAATGCATAGAATATCCAAATTTGAATAAGCATCATTGGTCGCCTGTATAGTGTGTGTACTGTGTGTGTATAAAACTCCAATGTAATGTAATAATGAAGAAGTACACAGAAAGAACTGGCAAATGGTTTTCATGCATCCTTGATTTAATTTATTTATTCACTTCAATTTCAAGCTTCAAAGATGCTTCTGTCTATGTCGGCAGCGGAGGCCATTTATATCTCTCCCACGGTAGAGAAGGAATGAACAAGTTTTAAAGGATTTTTTCATTTCTTCGAAGATATATATTGAAAGTTATGAGGAATTCTTTTTGGCCTAGATGTATATATATTTGCTTATGAAGTAAGTGAGTTTATTCATTTATTTTTGGTAAATAAGTAGATTTTTCTTGCATGGGAATTGATGCCTTGGTTGAGTAAATATCAACTTAGGCCATATTCAAACACAAATTATAAAGCAATCTATTGATATTAGGTCAATGAGAAACTTAATTTGAAGGGAAAAGGAAAAAAAAAAAAAAAAAGCAGAGAGAAACGTGAAATAAAAACTTCAATTTAACTCTCAAAATTTCCATTCTTCAAAAGAATAGGGGTTCCTGTGGTTTCATATATATGGATTTGTCACTTTTCATGTTGTTTGCAATTATCATCTTAGATGAATTACAATGCCGAAAATAAGAGAAAAGCAATATATCTACCTAATTTGACAAATGAAAAAGCAATATATTTTTAGTTTTTTTTCTCCAAAAAAGAAAATGAGAAAGAAAACTTCGTTTGTTACCAAACCCTACCTAATTCAAGTCCTCAATAAATACCACACATCTACAGAGCTAACGTGACCATCAATCATTGAAACACACCAACATATGCAACTTCCTATATTTGACCAAATAAATAAAATCTAAATGGACAAGTGTAGCCTTCTCACTGGTCAAAGTGCACAAAAACCGAGGTAAATATATTTTTCCACTATTTAACAATTTATTGGAGAGTTGGTAACTGACACTTAAAGTTCTTTTAACATTTTTCCATTAGATTATACTAAAATTAAAATCTGCAAAAAAAAAAAAAGAAGGGTGGAAGTCTCTTCCAATCAAAGCCTTGAAGGAATCAAAGACAGCAGGAGCTTAATGATTAAGGTTAATAATTAACCAATTTTTTTAATGTAATATAATTTAACTTAAGCGACAAATGTGTCAGGCTTAAATGAATGTTTATTTAAAAATCCATAATTAAATTTTGATAGATGAATGTATTTGATGAAGAACTTGAAAATTTACTTATATATATACCAGGGTTAAGGGTTAGTTTTAAAATGCATTAATTTCTTACCGTCCGAAAATGAAAATGGATGGAGGGAATCTGAGGTTTCTTGGAAGGAATATTTCAATTTGAGATGTCTTTCCAAAATGCCAAAGTGGAAAAGGCCTCAACCACAAGCTATAGAAAAGCTATATAAGTTTTCTTTATCGACTTAGATAATTACTGGCAAAGTGAACTTATAGGTTTTCTACTATCTAACCAAGTGTGTGGAAAGATACATCACAACTCACAAGTCCAAAAGAAAGAGTTCAATGAATGTTTATGTGTCCGAATTTCGAGATTTGTAAATTAATCAGTAGAAAAAAAAAATTAAGCTCTAATCAAATCCATGAGATTTGTAAATGTTCAGACAACTTTACAAAAAATCGATTTTTTTTTTTAAAATTTGAAAACTTTTTTGGTGGATAATTTATCTTGCTGCACGATTTAATGTGAAGTGGTAATCTCATCAGAATTGGAACTTCTCGTAATTGCTAAATTATGTTGCGATTTGATGAAATGCTTTTGTATGTACTTTCTATATGATAAAAGAGTTTGTAATTAATTTCTTCAACTCAATATACGTAGTTATGTTAATAAAAGCAAATAGGTATGCAAATATTTGATATTCTAAAATTTTAAAAAAAACTCAGTGTACATATAGTTTTCTACATATCTGACATTCTAAAATTAAAAACTAATTAAAGACTAAGGCCTTAATTATTTGAATTGTCATTTTTTTAAAAAAATCTTTACCTTTTTCATAAACACATTTCGTTATCATTTTTTTATCTCACGCATATCAAACGGTTATAGTACATTTTTTACAAAATATTCAGAAAATAATAATCCAAATGGGATCTAAATCCTCTAATGTAAATATTAGAATCGATTTTATGTGAAAAATTACAAGCCTTGAACCCAAAAAAAAAAAAAAAAAAAGACAACACAAACACTTGGGATTCAATTTATAATTCGAAATTGTAAGTACACACATTTAAATATCAATTGTGGCCCACTCTTGAGTCTTGACCATGAACTGCTAGGGACAAACCTTACACTAACCCAATCAGCCCCAGCGATATTAGGCTATTACACAAAACCAAGCTACAAGTAGGCCCATATGGGCGAGCTACGTCTATTTCTTCATCTACAAAAGCCTTGCCATGCATTTGGAGCAATTTCTTCTTTGGTTGATTGAGACTAATACACTATGATTAGCAAATAATGAACTTTCTTATAAGGGAACAAAAAATTAATAATAATTGAGCGTAGGACATGGCACAACTAGGCAATAACTACACGCCCTCTTTCTTCATTAGCAAAAATAACACTACTTTTTCTTTGAATAGCAGAGAAATATATTCGTAACTCGATCATTTTTCTACGAATACACTAATTACTCTGTAAAACTCTGTAATCCTAATTAGTTTAACTTACGTTGCACAAGTTGCCTTGAAAATTTGCTCTTGGTAGAGATAAAAATAAACTAGTGGACTTTATGTTGTTACAACACTTTTTTTTTAAAAAAAAAAATTATCCAAAAAACCGACTAAAATCATGCCATTGTTTAATCTCAATAATGTAGCACCTTGAAATTTGAGCTAAGTTATTTCTTCTTGTGGTCAATGCAATTTTCTATTGTTTGTTTTGAGAGAAGTAAAGTGGAGACATGGATTGTGTAGCACTACAAAGGTAAGGGATAAAATAAGGGTTGAAAAGAAGCCTATGAATAGGAAGGAGTGTGGGGGGGGAATATTCTTGGGCTCTAGACAAGTAGTTGACGATACTTTCTGACAATTAAGGATTAACCGGCAAACTTCCCTGCTTTTACGGGTAGTAACAATTTTTAATTACCAATACACCTCAAAAGTCACCCTAAATTATTATTCCAAATGTGTGAATTCCCAACTACTAAGTTTTCCATTTCTTTGACTTTAGTATTTGTTAATTGGTCTATTTAGTGCACCTAGATACTTGTAGAATTTGTGTCATCTATCCTTCTTCTCCTATCTATCCTTTTCTTTTTTCCCTTGGCGGTTTCTTTTTTTTTTTTTTACAAAAAAGTATATTATCAATCTCTTTCATTCTAGTAATTCTTAGCTGTCTTTTGGTGCATTATAATCCAAAATTCCACTGAAAATGAGGTGGATAAATCTAAGCACTTGTAGTATAACAAATTAATAAGAGAAAAAGAGAGACAATCAATATAGGTAGAAAAAATTTAATATAAGTGGCCACAGCTTATTTAAAAATTATCCCACCTCAATGAGTATTTATGATGTCATGTTTTCGGTCAAAGAAATTAAAATCAATCTTATAAGTAGTTATTAAGAAAAATATGGGCCCTTCTCGTTTTAGTTGTGGTGCATAAATAAACTCATCGTACAAGATGTTGAAGCAGGCTGATCCATGAAAAAGAAATAAAAACACTTTTGGACTCAATTTGTTTCTTCTAACATCCAAAGCAAGTCAATGGCCCAAACTTCCGCGCCTTCACAATTTCGTTCTCCTAAGCTCGCCGTATAGACTTGGCTCAAACATTCTGTTTGGATTCTCAAAGGACGCTTAAACCTGACCTTGGCCCATGTCCTCTCTCTCTCTCTCTCTCTCTCTCTCTCTCTCTATATATATATATATATATACACACATGTATATATAAAGCTTAATTTGTTTCTAATGGAGGTTACTTTTGCTGGGGAAAAGCAAGGATCTGGTTAGAATTAGATCAATCAAGTTAATCAACGACGGAGCTATCGAGAGACAATTGGCCGAGGGGACCTTGAGTCTAAGGGAATAGATTGTAGGTAGGTACAAATAGGCAAATGTGATGTGACAATGATCAAATAGTATTAATTTTTTCTTTTTCTTTTCTTTGGTATGAAAAATTTTTAGTGGATTCTGTTTCAATCACCACCACGAGTTAAAAAAATTTTCGGAACTATAAGTCGCTTATAAGGCTTAAGATTCTCAACGATTTAGTGAACTCAAAATTTATGACTTGATGTTGCAAGTAAAAAGTAGTTATAAATCTGATCTAAATATGAGCTTAAATATAGTATTTTTCATTTTAAAGAGACAAAGTTATGGTTTAAATCAGCAAAACAATTCAATATTTTAATTACCTTAAAGACGTTGAAATCCACATTGTACATTTTATTTCTCTTATAAATTTTGCATAAACTGGTAAATAAAATTTAAAGATTATGGGAATCGATCAACCTAATTTATTGGTGAGATGAAGGAGTTGTTATCTCCTAAATAATAGTATGGACAATGCCCAAAAAAAAAAAAAAAGAATGAACACTCAAGTCGATGAAAAGGACTCTAAATTTTGGAAAAACTGAGGCATCCATTTTTGAAACTTCAAGTTGTTACGTTCGTTTTCATTTTTGATTTCTTGAATCTCTGTTATAGGTTAAGCACCGGTTGACATACTAATGATGCGACAATTATCTTGCTATTCAATATTCTGTTTTATATTTATCAATTTAATTTTATATTTTGATAACAAGACAGAAGTTTATCAAAATTGCTCGAAACAGTCCAGCACAAATTGTTTAGCAAACTCAAGGAGGGAGTTTGAAACAGATTCAAATCAGTAAATAATTTTGGCATCTGATGCCATCCAGGTGCAATACAGATTCTAATCCAAAATATGAATCTGTAAAATGTTGGCTCCATGTCAAACCGATGAAAATCCCCAATTCCATCAAGAAATGTAATGTAGGCTTAAATCTTTATTAGCTTCCACTGCCCTGATATGAAAATCAGAGGGATGATATGAACTGCACTAACTCATTCAAAGAATTGTAAGAAGAACCACCTTCCTTGATGCAATGTTTGATCTGTTCCTTGAGAGCAATCACTTTCTGCCTCATTCTTGAGCCTTCTTCTTCAACTAGGATTCTTCTTATAGCTTTTGCAACATTTGTTCTCTGCACCACTTCATCCAGTTCTATGCCTATGCCCCATTCATGAGTCAGGTATCTTGCATTCACCGTTTGGTCGACAAAATATGGCTTGCATATCATTGGTACTCCTTCGCTTATACTTTCCAAAGTCGAATTCCAGCCACAGTGGCTCCAAAATCCCCCAACAGCAGGGTGTGCTAAGACATCCTTTTGGGGTGCCCATTTCACTATGCAGCCTCTGTTACCAGTAAGCTCTTGAAAACCCTCGGGCAAATGTGCATCTGAGCCACCACCTAAGCCAGGCCGGATAACCCAGAGGAACGGTTGATCACTGTTAGCTAGACCCCATGCCATCTCTGTTAATTCATTCTGATCCATTCTCGCGATGCTTCCCAAGCTTACATAAATCACTGAGTTTGGAGCCTTCTTTTCAAGCCATTCAATGCAGGTGTTGTCATCCTTGCTTACTAAATTTATTGGTTTTGCAAGAGCCATCTTGTGCAAAGGGCCTAATGTGAAAAGTGGAACACTGTAATGCTCCTGAAGCTGTCTCAATGAGGAATACTCAAGGCAGTCCATGGTGTTCTGAATGATGGCACTAGAAGTTCTTATGTTGCATACAACTGCAACCAGTTGTAATAAATTCTCTAAGTTACCCATGCTGGCAGTTGGTAGATCCTTGAACCTTAAAGGATGAAGTCCTGGAACCAACTCGTTCGATGTAGAATCTGTGATAAAGATTAGTCTTATTCTGATTCAATAATGCATCTTATAAATAGAATTTGTCAAGAAAAAGCTGCTATTAACTTTGATGAATTCATTGATCTGGAGGCTAGGCCTAAGAAAAGATCATATCAAATGTAAGACATAATATAGACTAGTGATGTAACATTGTTATATGCATACAGATCTATGTAGCATAATGTGTTTACTTTCAGTACTACATTGGAATCCCCGATAGCTTTCAGAAACTTTTTAGGTGTTGCATACCTTGCAAGCAGTTAAAGCCCTCTGCTTTAAGCCTGGGAAGTTTGCACAAAGCAAGCAATGCAGCAGCATTGCTGGTCCTAAAAATGATGCTAGGAAGACTCATTTGATTCGCCACTGTTTCTGCAAAATGCATGAGAAAATCATAGATGATGCACACAACCTGATCATGTTGTTTCTCCTCCTGCTGCTGCTGCATCATTTGACTTAAGCATTCCCTGAAAGGTTCTCTACAATTTGTGTTGATAGCAGATGCTAAACGTACAAGATTGGAAGGCGAGACATCCCAGCTCGATATACCATCTGAAATCGGCACAAATTGAAAATCAGGATGGTTGGCAGGATCGGGAAAGTTGAATTTGGTGTGCACAATTGTGATTGAGAAACCCCTGGAATGAAGGATGTTGGCCAGATCAAGCAGTGGATTCAAGTGCCCTTGCAGTGGGTATGCAACTAGCACCACGCGGCGACATCTTTCTGCTTGTAGCTTCTCCATATTCCGGATCTGTTTCTTCTTTCTAGATGGATGTTCACTGACTTGCTCAGTTTCGTATGCTTAAAATTTCACCACAGCTTGTAAAAGATGACAATATTCCAACTGCAGCCTTGCTGGTCCTTGTTAATGCTGCACTAGCTTTTGAACAACAACAAAGTAATTCTTTCTGTGTCTTCTTATTCTTCTGGATCCAGATGAAATATTACAAGACAATATGCAACTTAGGGATTGGATTATTTACCTGGCAATTTTCTAGATCCACAAGTTGAGTGTCTGGATGAGACTAGCATCCACAATCTCCTTGATGCTCTGAAACATGATCTGGTTGGCTTTTCATGTTTTCTATTAGTAGTTCTCATTTCAGGATTTTTTAAGTCTTCCACAGTGATTAGCACCCTTTTTGGACTTGACTTTAGGAAACAACAGTTCAAGAAACGGAGCCATATATAATTCACAAACTGTTGTCCAAATTCAATGGATTTGCACAATGTTGCTGATCATTAAATTTAAGATTGCTGGTCAGAATTGGTAAGCTTGTTGTCAGTTAGCTAGTGGAAAATTTTTGTCCTCTTTTCTTGGTTCGCATAATCAAAATTGTGACCGTTATTTTGGTGGCTTTCTACTTTTACATTATCTGTAGCTGTCATTTTCCTGAACAAGTCAATTTTATAGTAATCTAATAGAGAAGCCCGCGCTGGGTTGGTCTGCTGGTGGAAGGAGGCTCCTTAGCTGAGTTCCACCTGGGTTCGATCCCAGGCAGCATCCCAGCTGTTAAATTCTTCAGCATCGGTCGGGCCCGCTCTGCTGGGGCGCTGTGGGACTAGTCGGGTGTAGGCCCGGATACCCCAGTGATGACAAAAAAAAAAAAAATAATAATAATAGAGAAGGAAAAAAAGACTAAATTTCTTGATAGTATTGCCTCTGGATAAGGATTAGGTGAGTTTTTCATCTGCTTACCATTCAACTCTTTCTTTGCCTTTTCTGATTAAAATAGGGTTTTTTTTTGAAGGAATGATTAAAATAGGGTTGATAGCAGATTATGATTCTGCGTGTCACGTAGATTAATGTGTATGGACATTGGTAGACTAAACAAAGAAGAGCAAAGCTTACATTATTTTAATTTATTTTGTCTTTTCCATTTTGGAAAGAATCACTGTAATGCTTCAGCAACGACAACACTAACAAACAAATTCGATATAAATACAGGCAAAATGGACCATACCCACATGAGAATGACAACTAGTTTGACAAATTTTCAGCTCATAGGTCACTTCTTTAAGTGGTTGAACCATTGATCTTACAGCTTCACAAATTTTATCAGCAATCAGGTGGTTTTCTTCTATTTGTTTTTTATTGAAAAATATGTGAAATTTCTTCTTCCAAATACTTTATTGTGACCACCAGTAAAGGTAGCTAGCTAATATGCTCAAATCACCTTGAAGATCAGATTCAACTCAGGTGTAGCAGAAGCAATCTGTAATGACCGTACTTAATTACTCTAGAAAGGATTGCTCCATAGAAAGTATTAAGGGGGCCATGCTTGGATTGCTTGTTTCCGTCGGAAAATATTGTTGTTTTCCGTGATCACATTTCCCTATCACCTTTTTTCCTCATATATATCAAATCGCTACAGTAATTATTTCATGAAAAATGACGGAAAATGCAATCCAAACACACCTATAGGGCGGTAATAGTTTACTACCCTGTATTTTAAAAATATACATTATACCCCCAAAATGAATTATGTTTTGTACTTTTAATTTTGACCAGCCTATGTGCCTCTTTTTCTTTCCAAATTATCCCCAAGTTTCCTAAAATCTGAATAGTCAACTTTTATATTGTATTTTCCTGTTATGTATTCACCATAATATTCTGCTGTTACATGTTATGGTGTTAGATTATAGTATAAATTAAATTAAAAAAAACTCTCCTAACTACCGCCTTATCTTGCCAAGAAAGGGCACATTATTTTTATCACACCAGAATGCTATTTTGTTAATTTTAAATTGCAATATATACATACATATTAGTGCTATAATACATTTTATATAAGACGGGGGCAGGACGCGAGTGGAGTCCTATTTAAACCGACGCAAAATTATACATAAATCTACACAATAACTTAATTAAACTACTGTCCAACATTACATCATGTAGTAGTAGAATATTTTGATGAATATCTAATAAGAAAATGCAACAATCTAAAAGTTAACCATTGAGAAAATAAGAAGACTGGGGCTTATTTGGAAAGAAAAATATGTATATGGATTTGCCAAAATTAAAAGTATAAAGCAAAATGCATATTTCCGAAGTTCAGGGTGGTAAAGTGTTACCATCCCATAGGTTCGGGGGGCAAAGTGTCATTAACCCAACTATTAATTTGTCTAAAAAATGTTTAAGTAGAGAAGGAGCAAAAAGGACTGATCCTAAAAAGAATCATCGTTTATCCTCCTGTTGATCACTCAAAGAACAAGAGCATTACTCTCCATAATCTGGTTAGTTTGCAAAGAATTTTCTTGAACTAGACTACAGAATATCAAGCAAAGATGTCAGGCTAGCTGTGAAACTTGACTTTGGCAAGTATTTTCTTGAACTAGACTACAGAATATAAAGGGCCTTTAGTTTGGTTAAAATCCCATGTGCAGACGCCAGTGCTTGAGCTAATAGGCAGTCCAAACTCCGAAGTTAATCCCAACTGAGAAGCCACATTTATGGGCTTGACAAGTTTATAAAAATTTGAGTTTTTACTCATAATTGCTCCCACCCCCACCTTCCGGCCTACTTCCCAAAAAAAAAAAAAAAAAATGGAGATACCCTTTTCCCTCGACATTGGCCCCTATGTTTTAACAAAATCACATTCTCTCACACATTGGCCGCACGACGTTGGAAATTTTTTATGTGTTGCATACCTTGCAAGGAGTTATAGGCTTATAGCCCTCAGCTTTAAGCCCTGGGAATGATGCAAGGAACTGGGAAGACTCATTTGATTCGCCACTGTTTCTGCAAAATGCATTAGAAAATCATAGATGATGCACACAACCTGATCACTTTGTTTCTCCTCCTGCTGCTGCTGCTGCATCATTTGACTTGAGCATTCCCTGAATGATTCTTTGCAGTTTGTGTTGATAGTAGATGCTAGACCTACAAGATTCTTTGGGGAGACATCCCAGCTGGAACTGGGTATGGAACTATCACCACACGACGACATCTTTCTACTTGTAGCTTCTCCATATCGCTCTCTGCTTCTTCTTCCTAGATAGCCTGGAAGTTCACTAATTTGTTAGTTTTAAATACTCGAAAAAAACAATGGAGCTTGTAAAAGAAGTCAAAATTTCAGCAGCTGCCATGCTGGTTAATGCTCTATTTGCATTGGGGCGATAACATAGTAATGCTTTCTTTGTCCTCTTATTCTTGTAGATAGATCCAGACGATTTATTATAACAGGATATAGAACTTCTAGGATTACTTAATTACCTGGAATTTGCTAGATCCGCAAATTGATTACCTGCATCATAATAGCATCAATAATCTCTTTGATGCTCTGAAATATGCTCGGGCGGGCTTTTCATGTTTTGTATTAGTAGTTCTCCTTTGAGGGTACTTGTTAGATTTCAGCAGTGATTAGCACTCCTTAATTTCATGCTCTGGTAGGCATTTCAGCCGTGATTAGCACTCTTTTTTGGACTTTTGGAAAGAATAGTTCAAGTTGTTATCCAAATTTAATGGACTTGATCTATGTTGCTAATCACAGATTTTAGGATTACTGGTCAGAATTGGTAACCCTGTTTATCTGTTCGCTCGGGGAAGCTTATCGTGTTCTTTTCTTGGCTGCATACTCAAAACTAAGACAATTATTTCTTCATGTATATTATCTGTAGCTATCATTTGCTGAACTAGTCAATTTTACAGTAATCTAACAGAGAAGGAAACAAGAGACTTTCTTGGCAGTATCACCTCCGGATAAGGATAAGGAGAGTTTTTATACGTTTATCATTCAACTCTTTCTTTGTCTTTTTGATTAGGGCAAATTACACTTTATCCCCTATAATTTAGTATTTTTTACGTAACTCCCATGATTTCAAAAGCAATACATAACCCCCTCATTATTTGGATTAAAGTGTCAAAATGACGGAAATAGTCATTCGTAACGGAACTTTTGAAAATGTCGAAATTACCCTTATAATGACACACTAACCCCGTATGATTTTATGTTTTACTATATAACTCCCTTACGATTTAATGCTTTACCATATCACTCCCTTATGATTTTCAAAATATACACATAACTCCCCCTTGGTTAATAAATAATTTTCAACTTTACATAGAGGTATTTTTTTACATTTTAGGTGACTCTGTTATGAATGATCATTTCCATCAATTTGATACTTTAATCCAAATCATGAGGGGATTATGTATAATTTTTAAAATCATAGAGGAATTATGTAAAAAACACTAAACCACAGGGAGATAAAGTGTAATTTGCCCCTCTGATTAAAAAGGGTTTCATAAAAGCTTATCATTCTGCATGACTGCTAAAATTAATGTGCATGAAAATTGGTAGATCAAATAAAGAATGATCTAGGCTTACATTATGTTAATTTATCTTGTGTCTTTTCTTTGTTCGAAAAATCACTAAAGTGATTCAACAAAAAATAACATAATGACAAACAAACTCAATATGGTTATTGCAAAAAAAGGACTAAACGCAAATAACAAAATTGACGACTAGTTTAACATATTTGGAGCTCATATCCACATCCTAAAATGCTTGGTTGCACTCTTGATTTGACATCTTCACGAAAATTATATAGTAATTAGTGATTTTTTTAATTGTATTTTCACGAAAGGTTTGTGATTTTTCTCCCTCTGAGTACAAAATTTTTTGTGACAACTAAAGGTAGTCAAAATTGAGAAGAAAAGGAACAAAAGAAAGATTCAACCTAAACAGAAAAAGAGTATTCTCTTGTTCATCACTCAAAGAAAAAGAGTATTGCTCTCTCAATAATCTGGTTAATTTACAAACAATTTACACCTTGTAGTCTATGTTCAAGCAAAGATGTCATGCGTGCTGTCAAACTAAAATTGGCAATATTTTCTTGAATAAGACTCGTGAATTTCAAGGAAATTAGTTTGGTTAAATTTCAATGTAGACGCCTAGGCTTGAGCTATTGGGCACTTCAAAGTCAATCCAGGTATTTATCTCAATTCATCCTATTCACCATATCCAGGATGTGATATGGTTCGGCAGAATGGACGGATATGGACAGTTCAAAGAAGATTTTATTATTGAACATCCATTTTTTAATTTATTTCATCTATTTCATGCTCGAAACAGAGGAAGATGAACCTCACACCATGATTTTAAATTAGAAGAGACTAGAGAGATTTTAAGAAATTATTAATTCAATCAGATTTTATTAATTGGTCTCACCTACATCTAGAAAGAGAAAGAGGGATAAAGCGAGACTTAAACAAGTGGATTTCAGGTATAGTCTTGATTCTAGCTAAAATAATTTGAGTTCATTTACTTCCAGATTCTTTAATTTCATCTGCTTGAAAATCTGATCATGAGGAAAAAGCAGAAAAAATAAAGGATAAATTACATTTTACCCCCCTGTGGTTTACCCTTTTTTTACATAACCCCCCTATGGTTTCAAAAGCTATACATAACCCCCTCATGGTTTGGATTAAAGTGTCAAAGTAACGAAAATAGTCACTCGTAATGGAACTTCTAAAAATTTTACCATATAATCCCCGTATAATTTTTATATTTTACCATATAATCCCCCTATGATTTAATATTTTACCATATAACCCCCTTATGATTTTTAAAATATACACATAACCCCTCTTAGTTAATACATAAATTTCAACTTTACATAAGGGTATTTTTGACATTTTAGATGACGCCGTTACGAGTGACTATTTCCATTAGGGTTAATCATATTTTATCCCATTAAAGAATATTCCATTTCTCAATTTACCCCCTAACCTTTAATTTTAATCACTTAACCCCCTTTAGGACAAAATTGCCCTTGCATTATTTTGACTTTTCATTTACCTTGTTTTCCTTTTTTTTATTTCTTTTTTCTCTTTATTTTTTATTTAATTCTTCCTCTTTCCCACAAACATTTTCACCGTAATGATTGAAATTAAAAAAGAGGAATTGTAGAGATCTATCTTCTCCTTAAATAATTAAAAAAATATTCAAATCACATTCCTAAAATACAATTTTTTTAGCCTTTCAATTCTTTTAATTTTGGGTTTTCCTCTTTCCTTTCTAGTTTCTCATTTTATTCCCAAGAAAATATCTTAAGATGAAATTGTGACCTGATTAATAATCATCAATTGAAATTTGTGACACGTGGCATCACACAAAAAATCAAAATTAATTTTTTATGCCTTTTAAACCGTCACCTAGAAATATGCAATTACAAACTCAAAACAAAAATTTTCGTTGAAATGGAATTTTCTATTGGGAAGGATGAAAGAAAGAAGAAAGAGAAAAAGAAAAAAAAGAAAGGAAAATAATTTCATCTTATGATATTTTCTTGTGAATAAAATGAGAAACTAAAAAGGAAAGAGGAAAATCCAAAATTAAAAGAACTGAAAGGCTAAAAACATTTTATTTTAGGAAAGTGATTTGAATATTTTTTTTAATCATTTAAGGAGAAGATAGATCTCTACAATTCCTTTTTTTTAATTTCAATCATTAAGGTGAAGATTTTTGTGGGAAAGAGGAAGAATTAAATAAAGAAGAAAGAGAAAAAGAAATAAAAGAAAGGAAAACAAGGTAAATGAAAAGTCAAAATAATGCAAGGGCAATTTTGTCCTAAAGGGGGTTAAGTGAACAAAATTAAAGGTTAGGGGGTAAACTGAGAAATGAGATATTTTTTAAAGGGATAAAATGTGATCAACCCTTTCCATTACTTTGACACTTTAATCCAAACCATAAAGGGGGTTATATATAGCTTTTGAAACCATAGAGGGATTATGTGAAAAATGCTAAATCACAGGGGGGTAAAGTGAAATTTTCCCAAAAATAAATGCCCGCTTTTCTATAGTAGCCGTTTTTTAGGGTTAATCACATTTTATCCCCTTAAAAGATACCCCATTTCTCAGTTTACCCCCTAACCTTTAATTTTGCTCACTTAACACCCTTTAGGACAAAATTGCCCTTGCATTATTTTGACTTTTCATTTACCTTGTTTTCCTTTCTTTTATTTCTTTTTCTCTTTCTTCTTTATTTAATTCTTCCTCTTTCCCACAAAAATCTTTACCTTAATGATTGAAATTAAAAAAGAGGAATTGCAGAGATCTATCTTCTCCTTAAAAAATTAAAAAAATATTCAAATCACTTTCCTAAAATATAATTTTTTTAGCCTTTCAATTCTTTTAATTTTGGGTTTGCCTCTTTCCTTTATAGTTTCTTATTTTATTCTCAAGAAAATATCTTAAGATGAAATTGTGACCTGATTAATAATCATCAATTGAAATTTGTAACCCGTGGCATCATACAAAAAATCAAAATTAGTTTTTGATGTCTTTTAAACCTTCACCCAAAAATATGCAATTATAAACTCAAAACAAAAATTTTCGTTGACATGGAATTTCTATTGGGAAGGATGAAAGAAAGAAGAAAGAGAAAAAGAAATAAAAGAAAGGAAAACAATTTCATCTTATGATATTTTCTTGAAAATAAAATGAGAAACTAGAAAGGAAAGAGGAAAACCCAAAATTAAAAGAATTGAAAGGCTAAAAAAATTGTATTTTAGGAAAGTGATTTGAATATTTTTTTAATCATTTAAGAAGAAAATAGATCTTTGCAATTCCTCTTTTTTAATTTCAATCATTAAGGTGAAATTTTTTGTGGGAAAGAGGAAGAATTAAATAAAGAAGAAAGAGAAAAAGAAACAAAAGAAAGGAAAACAAGGTAACTAAAAAGTCAAAGTAATACAAGGGCAATTTTGTCCTAAAGGGAGTTAAGTGAGCAAAATTAAAGGTTAAGGGGTAAACTGAGAAATGAGGTATTCTTTAAGGGGATAAAATGTGATTAACCCCCGTTTTTTATAGCTTCTGGAGTACTGGTACGGGAACACGTGCGTTGCAGTTGTTGGTCATGTTTGTATGAATTTGTTTCTTTTTAAGAATGTACATTCTTCTATAATGACCTAAGAAATTGAAGGGCCTCAGAATCTAATAAGTTTAAAAAGAATAATACCTCTATGGATTTAGACCACGTGTACTTGATGTCATTTATTATTATATCTTCAGCCTTTCTACATATTTTTTGGAATATAAACTCTTAGGAATTGGTGCATTTTTTGATTTTCGATCCTGAAAAAGATTCTGTAAATTATCAGAAATGTACAGGAAAAGTATTAATAACTTTGAAGAAGATGAAAGTTGTGAACCAGTATTTCAGTACAATTTTTATATCATTCGGCTATCTTTCCCTATATCTTTTGAGCTCACATTCTATATTTCTTCTCCTCTAAATTCCCTTACTCTTCGATTGCTTTAGAGACATTCTTTTTATCGTATGACCCCAATTAATGCATTGATTGAGTCAGTTTCTCTGGGTAGTATAAACAACCCATCTTTTAGATATCAAAATTGACTACATTATTTTATTGGGCATTCAACTATGGTTTTGCTTCACAAATTTGTTTGCAATTTTATTTAAGAAAAGAGCATTTATTTTTTTTTCTCTTGTTTAATTTCCTTCCTTTTTTTAGAAAATCATTTGAAACGTCACTCACATTTTGCGAAATAACTTTTTTCATCCTTA